ATGGTGGGATCACTCTTACCAAAACTGTGGTTCAGTATCAGCAGCTTCCTACCGTGCTTAACTGTCTTTCTTGTTAGCATTTATTGATACCTGAGCTACATTATGCCAATGGCCTCCTACAAATGAAATTGCTTTTCTCCAGGGAATTCCAAAACCAGCACATCCCTGTGACCCGGCGGATCTAAACCTGTCACCATTCTTGTTCTGACCTTGAGTAGCAGAAATCATTCTTAAAGTGCATGACACCAATAATTAAAAATACAATGGCAGCAAGTACCAAGGGCAGATAATTGCTGGTTTGTGCGTAGAGCAACAGTGTAGAGTGTCACGTGCCAGTTTTGCAATGGCATCATGGTAACTCGTAATGAGTTTCTAGGTCCATTATAGCCCCGAGCTCCGCTTCTGCCATATTACTGGTAGTCCTGGTAGTTGTACCTACCAGTAGCTATTGCTGTTACCTAATCAGTTATTCTTGCCTTTTATCCATGCCTTTGATTTCTCCTTCCTGAATGCAGCCACTTGCACTGGCCTGATTAAGTTGATGTTCTGAACTCTCCTTGAATTTATCCAAATTAATCGTAGTCTGAGACAGCCTTCCAAATTGTTTCTTGCTCTTGTTGTCCGTAGGCTCTCTGTTCCATCAGCTAAATCCTTAATGAAAGACCCCTCTGCTCTCTTTCCTGTGACACAACACAAAACCATTCTTCTGCCAGCAAGTATGAGCTACCTGGCTGGAAGTGTGGAGGTGTGGGTACCAGCCACAATCTGTGATAAGCAGGTTAGATTAGTACAAGCAGAGATACAGTAATTGGAATTCCCGTGGTTTAATATCCACTGGGCATTCTCGGCTTACACCTCCGTTTCTGAAAGCAAGTATTCTAACACACAGCGTTAATTAGCTGCTGTTTGCAAAGCATGAAAAGTACCTACTGCCTATGGATGACATCTCTGACCTTCTGATCCTCTCCCACTAACATGGGCTGACACAGCTTAGTATTTCCCTTTAACCTGCTCCCCAGAAAGATTTAACATACTCGTAGTATGGACATGGAAAATGCGAGTAAAGAATGAGGAGTGTGAAACCCCTCTGGCAGGGGGACAGAGGGGAGGTTGCTGGTGACCGTACCGTTCCTATGCAGAGGAGTTGTGCTGGAAACCTGCGTGTTAGCTGTCTTTCCAAGGCTTATGTCTGTTGCATCCAGCTTCCACCACTTGCAACAACCACGAGTGGCTGGGGGTTTATCAGAGGCTTACTCTGATCTGTACCGGCTGCCTGTCAATTCTGGATAAACTACTCACTGGCCAGTGATTGTGATACAGCCACATCACCTACCTTGACAGTGGGTTAGGGGGTATGAGCAGCTATTTAGATTTTTAGCTGTTTCTGCCTTCCCTTTGCCACTGCAGTGGTAGGAGGAGGTTGCAGCCAGCCAGCCAGCCCGCCCATTACGTACACTAGGTATTTAATGAAGATGAGTTATCATTAGCATGGGACTCCTTGCACAAGCCTTTGCAATGTAGCACTCAGATGTCCCCATGACAAGCCTGGTAAAAAAGGCTTAGCTGTGCTGGCGGGCGAGGGGCCATCTGTCTGCATCCCACGCACCCACGCAGCATTTCTGATGCTGATCAAGAAGAGCAAACAGATGGCACTTTGTCGTGTGAAAGCCATCTTGAGAAATGCAGGCAGCTAATAGTAAAAAGTGCAGGGCTTGATTTTTCTTGAGCTGAGCAAGGGGTGAGTAGGGGGAATAGGGACTCTTTCTGAGGATGCTGGAGCAGGCACGGGGAGCTCTTGCCCCGCAGGGTGATGTGTGACACCCTGTAGGAAGGGCTTCTGCTCACGAGTGATCCTTTAGCAGTCAGATAGTCGCCCTGCTTCTAGGGGCTTCATGGCTTGAGTTTGCCCCCCTCATTCTCTCCTTCCACCCACATGATTCGTTTTGCCAGTGTCTCATCACTCACATTGACTCTTTGCTTGTTCCTTTTCTCTCACAGGCCAGGGAAGGAGAAGTAGCCATTATAGACAAAGTTCTGGATAATCCAGCTTTGACATCTAGAGACTTTCAAGAATGGAAACAAATGTACCTTGATCTCTTCATGGACATCTATCAAAGCAGCACCCCGAGGGACTCTGTTAATGGCTCATCTGAGGTTGATGCACTTATAGCCTCCTTAGCACACACTCACTCTTACATTGAAACGCACGTATAAAGGTACCCCTTTTCATCCATTTGCTACACTCCAGCCCTTTACTTAAGTGCATAAATTAGTTTTTATATCAATATGTGGGAGCTCTAGTAAATTATATTTTAATGTTACTCAGCTGTGTGAAGTAAACCTTCAATGGTCAACGATACTACGTCTTTAATGAAGATTTGTATATTTTATATGCTACCAACGCTCTGCTTGTGTTTACCTTCTGTGAAATAACAAATGTGATCTTTACCTATTAAAGAAACATATTTAAAAGCATTTTTGGAAGACTGTGACCTTCATGCAGGAAGTTCCACAAGCTAAAGGTTTTGTTATTGAAGGTCACTTTTACAATGATATTTTATATTATATAATTCCAGTATTGCATTGCATTTTTGGAGTGCAGGTACTATTTTGGTGGTGGGAGAAAACCAATTTTTATATTTAATGAGAAACTCTAGGAGTTTTCTTAAATAGCAGAAAAGAAGTGTAATGTGGTGGTTGTGTTTCACTTTTGTCAAACACACAAAAGGACGAAAATCAGCAGACAGAAATTACTGATGTGAATTTCCTTGTACTTTTTAAAAGCCTGTTGCTAAAGTTTGCCATTAGTGCAAAGGGATGCTGGTTTGTATTCTAATGAAGACCAAATTATGTGTTATTTGTCTCTTAATCACATTTGGTTGATTTTTTTTTTTTAAATAATGATGGTACTGTAATTTATGCTGCTTTTGTACTGAAGGTATCAGTATAACGTGCAGATTTTGCAAAAGAGAAAATGTAGACTTTGAACATCCTTGATAGGGACATTTCTCTTGCCCAGAAAAGCAGCAGTGGAAAAGGTTCCCAAGAAAATACTCTGAATCTGAGAGACTTTGAAAATTCCCACAATAGAAATGGGATGAATAGGATTTTTCAAGTAGTCTCCTATGTGTTTTCTGAGCTGTGAAATTTGGCCGTATTGTATGTACGGAAAATGTGCGATGGGAGCATAGCTGAGCACAGAACCTGAAAAATAACTGAGGAGTAAAAAAGCCTCTGGTTTGGTTTTGAAGGGGAAGGGATGCCTCTGGGTTCTGCTGAGTTCACAAGCCAATTAAAATGTTTTAAGTTCTATGAGATTTGAAATGTACTGGAGACAACCCAGTGAATATGAGTCGAAATAACTTAGAAATAACAAACTCCTTAGAGTAGGCACATACCTGGAATAGGAAAGTGGGAGGGAAATCTTAAATCGCCTATTTATTTTTATGGGCTTGTTTTCAAAAAGCAATCAGAGCATAACAAAATATTTCTGCTGCTTTTCAGTATTTTGCTGCATAAGTTAGGACCCACGACATCATTTAATAATGTTCATGTGAAAAGGAGAAGCCTCCTTTATACTTTTTACAGTGAGTTGTACTCTTAACCAACTTTAGCCTATTGCCTGTACAGCTCAGTGAATGTACTTTAGACTTTATGAGCTCTGATATTTCCTGACAGTTATATCCATGAAGGGATGAAGGAAGAACAGACAGATTTATTTTCTCTCTCCTCCTTTCTTTTTATTCCTTTCTCTTTCTCGCCCTCTTTTTCTCCCTTTCTCCCCTTTCTCTCTTTTTCTCTCTTTCTCCCCTTTCTCTCTTTCTCTCTTTTTTTTCTCTCTCTATCCCTCCTTCTCTCTTTCTTCCTTGTTATTTTATTGCATTTGGATTGCAAATGTTTTGCAGATTTTGCACAATTGTACAGAAGAGTGGCCTTTCTGTAGCCCATTTTCAGTAATCCTATATTCAAGTCAACATGGATGACAAATCATGTATTAACGTTTGTATAGAATTCTGGATCCAGTGTAATATTTGTACCATTAGAAGAATATTGTTTGTATAAACTGGACATTTATTTACTGCATGGGTACTGACTTGTATATTAAATTTGTGAGGTTTTTGTAAATTTCTCTTAAAAAATGCTTGACTTGAAATGGATCGTGCTATTGTTCCAAGCATTTAGATTCTCTTGCTATTGTTTTACTGGACCAAAAGTAAATATATTCATATAAAAAACTCTTTATATCTGATGGATGTATATGCACATTGTGTAGTTGATTCCTTGTCAAAACCAAGGCAGTTCAGAAGACTTAGATCTGTTGCTATGCAACAGCTATTCTGCCTGCACTTTACATTAGTAAAGTCAGCTTGATTGCTTTAAAGGTGAAAATTAAACATTACAGTTTTTTAAGCTAGTCTAGTGACAAAGAACATGTGTCCTCTCCATTGTGCTGCCTTCTTTTAAGACTATTAAATGTTCTTCTATATATATTTTTATTGTATTAACTCTCAGTCTAGAAAGGGAACACTGTAAAATGAAGTACAATAAATTTAGCTTTTAAATGAACATTTGTGACTCGAGATTCAATGTACTCCATACCAAAGTGATTCTGTGGCATCTGACCATTTTGCCTGCGTTTCACAGATCCAGATACTTTAATCTGTGCCTTCGGGCTCTGCCAACATGGCCAAAAAGAAGTAAGACTATTGCTGTTTCATACGTAGGCAGACTCTGAATAAAGACTTCTGAAAATCTTCAGTTACCTCCCCTTTGTACTCTTTGATGAAAGTAAACCTTTTTTGACTGCAGGATTTCCTCATGTACTAGTTCTAACAGCTATGAACAATTTCACCATTATGACCAAGTACAATAAAGCAGTGTATGCTACCGAGGTAAGTATCAAGGCATTAGTTACAGCAACTCCTGTAACATGTTTCTTAGAACCTAATAATAAGTATACCCATTCAGCTCTGGCCATCTAAACTAACACAAGGCTTGCATACAAAAGAAATGTACTTTACTGGTAGTGAGCATCTATAAAATAACACAAAATAAGCATCTGAAAGGCATGCTACAGCAAAGGCTGCTCAGAGAGAAGTGGCTTTTATGAAACAGTCACTGTTTTGACTTATGGCCATAACTGAGTCTACATATCAAAAAATCCATGCTTTCTGTCCAGTAATTTCACGCTGGTTAGCTAAGACATTCTTGCCTAGTATGTAGTATATCAAATAATACTTTTCCTTGGCAGTACTTATTATTAGTTCTCATAGGCATCAATTTTCTAGTCTTTATACATCTCACTTTTATTTTGCTTAGCCATAGCATAAAAATTCAATAGCACTTACCAGCTGGGAAAATTACCTCTGATTAAGAAAACAGAAAAGACAGATTATATTTTTTAACCTTTGAAAAATCTGACTTGCAACACCTATTAATTGCTATCTAGGTATTACTCTTCAAAAGTCAAGGATTACGGTTCTCGCTCGTCGCCTCTAAACGTGCTACATCCTTCCACAGTGAGACCAACTTCCAGCTCTATAAATCCCATCGCTTGTTCCCATGCTGGACCCAGACTTCCCTGTCTGTTTCCACCAAGTGTATGGCTTATCAAAGCAAAAACCTCCGCTCGATCACGTTCAGTGCCATTGCAATTTTCCTCTTCTCCAGGACCCCCGTGCTGGCTCATCTCTTGGGATGATTATTCCTCAGTGTGTGCATTCAGCAGTTTAGTGGCCTCTTCTGCTGACTGTCACTGTCTTGCTCATCTGCCAGTTCAGAGAGTTGCAGCACCGCACACTGCAGTCCACACCAAGGCACGGGGGCTTTGCAGATCTCTTCCCAGCCATCGTTGTCGATGTCATAGCCAACCACATCTTGTGTGGGGACCTCCCGTGAATTTTGCCATTTCTTACCCCCAATAAGAAGAGCTGTTTCCTCTACTACTGCCAGGCCATAGCAAAACCGATCATAGATCAGTGGTCTTAACCGAGTCCATTGGTTTAGATCAGGGTCATATCTTTCTATTTCAGAGAAGGGTTCATATAGTCCTAAAAACGTGAATATGGCTTCTCTGATCGTTGCCATCTGATGTCCAAACCGAGCAATGCTCATGGGAGCTTGTTTCATCCACTGCCCTTCAAGTGAGCTCAGAGAATATAGGTCCTTGCTTGTGCTGGCTGGGTCTGCATACTTGCCACCTGAGATGTATATAGTATTCTTGCAAATGGCACTGGCATGGCCATGTATCTTGCATGGCAATTCCCTGGCCTTCGTCCATCTGTCCCTGCTGATGTTGTAGACTTCCACAGATGAATGCAGTGACCCATCCTCACCCTTGCCACCAATGGCAAAGATATCCTGGCCTAAGACACAACAAGAAAACTGGCATCTCTTTTCCATCATGCTCGTGATTTGGGTCCACGTGTTAAATCTTGGATCATAACGATGGACCTTATTCGTAACCAATAAGGTCTTTTCAGATTTAGGGTCACCTGGGGCACCACTTTCTATTTCCCCACCCAAGACGTAAAGGAAGTTCCCCACCACACACATGCTGTGGTTCTGCACCTTGTCCTGCACCTGTGTGAGGGCTCGCCATTTGTGATTGTAAACATCAAAGGCCACCACATCAGTTTTGAGCCCTTCGCTTGCCGTCCCCCCCCCCAGCAGGATGATCCGAGTTTTCTGGTTCCTCAGCGTGGTGGACTTATCCTGCAGGACAGGCTGTTTGAAAACAGATGTGTGGTAATTTATTGCTTTAATGATCAAGCACTTAATACCTGCAGAGAGAGGCACTTCTGACTGTGTGTAGGTTTTTCTCAGCTCTTCCACCGGGATGAGGCCATATCTTATGTGCTCTAAAAGGCTGCTAGCGTGAGCCAACCTGGATTTATCCTGCTTCAGCCACAGCAGCACAAGATTCAACAGGTGGGTTTCTTTCACCATGGGGAGGTCTGGTGATTCGACCACTACTAGCAAAGACCTGAAGTTCAGCTCCAACAGTCCTGACAAATCCAAGTCCAGCAGCTTCCAGAGATTATTGACAATGTATTTTTCTGTTGCTACTAAGGCGTCCGGCAGGTAGAACTTCCTGGCCACGTTGGCAGAGAAGCAGCAGTTTTCCAAGGCAAGATTGTTAACTAAGTACTGATTGCACAAGCCAATAGCATCAGTCACTTGCAAGTAGCTTGCAGCTTCCAAAGTATCTTCCAGGCTTTCAAAGGAAAGCGGCAACAAGGAAGTATAAATGAAATCCAGGATGTGCTGGAGACCGGTGGGTGAGACAACTTGCAGGTGAATTACACTGGCTTTAGACTCTTGGGTATAACTTTTGAACATGGCTCGGAAATAGTCGCTGGAGCATGCCAACAAGGACTTGTGCGCAGGAAATTCGTTTTCCTTCACTTTCAGCAGAATATCGCAGAGAAAGCCCTCTGATCTCAGGGTCTGGTACTGAGTGAGCACAGCAGTGCAGTGCGCTTTGCAGTAGGAAAGGAAATAGCTCATGGTAGGCAATGCAACTCTTTCCCCTTGGGTTATTAAAGCTAAAATGCAATTAGATATTGGAACAGCTGCCCAACTCGGCAGTCATTGCTCGAATGCCCAGCAGACCTCCAGCTGTTAAAGCCCAGCTGAAAAAAAAATAAAAATCAGTCTCTTGCCTGGCATGAGGGGACGGTTAGTAGATTTGTAGTGAATTCAATGCATTCCTTTATAGAAAAAAAAACACAGCTGAATGTCGTAACAGCTGCAGGATGCTTACTTTTCTCTCCTCCGTTGCTTGCATAAAGATGAATGGTCCACGGTTGTGCTGAGCACTTGCTTGGCTGGCCATCAGGTGACAGATGAGGGAGCTAGCCGACAATCCCAACAAACGACACTTTGTGTCTGCTCAGCCGTCCCCCTCGACCCTTCTTGCTCCGCAGGCAGATCAAATAGATCCTCTCTGGCTGCCACCAGCGCATGGCTCTGAGCAGACACAGACGAGAAGGGAGAACTGGTTTTTCTCCTCTCTTGTTTGTATTTCAAACTCGGATGAAGTTTAGACCTCGCCGCCCTTGGGACAGTAGCCCCCTTTTCGTCCTCTTTTCGCGCTCTGCTCCGCTGACGATCAAATCAGTGCCCGGGGATTGTACGTGAAGATTTTCTAAGCCCATAAATCTTTGCCCGGCAGGCACTAAGATAACCAAAATATCGTGATTAGTCACTGGTTCGATTTGACATGCATTTCTGGGCTCTTTGCTTCACATGACACTGCCATAACTCAGAGCTACCAGAATAGCCACAGGCGCATCCCCTTGTCCCCCCTTGCCCGGTAGCCGATCCCAGGCGGGCGAGCAAATGGGCCAGGGACCAGGCAGACAGAGGAGCTTCCAATGACAGCCACAGCCAAAGCAGCTGACTTGGAGTGACCTGGCTGGAAATGACAAGGGTAACACATTCGCACAAAGTGGTGACAGAAATAGATTCCCCCAGTTCGGCCGTACTAAAGGAAAATCTGTTTGTAGGGGAGGCTTTGCATAATTGTGCTCTCGGTTACCAGCTGGGAACAAACCCAGAGCCCCCGTGGATGGGCTGGAGCTGACTCTCTCAGCTTTCTCACTTTCAGTTTGTCCCAATTAGAAGCACGTATATGGGGATTATCCCTGATTTTCACCCAGGCCCTTCAGGGTCTCATTTCTACCAGGAATAGTAACTCTGAGCAGGCTACACATTCTGACCTCTTAAAGCTTGCTTTTTTTTGTTGTTTTTTTTTTCCCTGCATAACTCTGGGTGGAGATGTTCAGGAATCTCCTCCCGACACTTTGCTTTCCAGGTCAGGAAAACATGCTCAGGACTTGAAAACTTTGACAGGGCTGCTAAATGCCAGACCACTTTGCTGCATGAGGAGCCAGCAGACTTGGAGGCAGAGGAGGATCCTGCAGCACTAAAAAGCTTCACCTTTTACTCAAGCCCAAGGTAAAGCCTTTTTACTGTATTTGTTTATATTTATTTATGTGATGTCATGAAATTCTGTCTTACCCCTGTAACCAAGGGGTATTTGGGAGCTGACTGGATCCTAGTGTGAATCATGCAGGCTGAGCAACTGTTCTAGTGGGCTTAAAGTCTCTTGGTAAGTAGACTGGTGCCTGCACAGTCTGCTATGTTTGTGGGGAAGGACCCCCAAAACACCATTCTTCATTGCTGTATGGCTCTGAAAATTGATTTCCTGCTTGAACCCACTTTCTGTCATGGCATTCTGGACCATACATCTTGCTCAAAAGTCTTTCCCCTTGCTAGCAAATTGACACGTATGAGCAGTGAGGATGAAGGAGCAAAGGGATGCCTTCGTTCTCTTTTCCATGGACTTTGCCTATGTTCATGTTGGGACAACTCTGAAGCGTGTCAGATGTTGTTACCAAAGCTGTGCTGTTGAGTCCAACCTTCTGGTCTAATGCTTTTCCTGTTTTACGCAGACTGGAGGACAGTCACCTCTGTCACTCCTCAGCAGTCATGCATGCTGGTGATGAGGGACCAGGCCTTAAATGTTCCTGCTCCTTAAAGATACCGTTTTCCCCCATTTAAACCCAGAAGGTACCAGATTTCAATAATATGAAGTGCAGAACAGCTCCATCACACTTTCCCCAGGAGACCAAGCAATGAGCGTGGCAGAGCAGGGGGGGGGGGGGG